ATTTACTACACTGTTACACTGCACTATACTATAATACACTACACTACACTACACTACACTGCTCTACACTGCTCTACGCTGCACTACACTCAGCCGCCTTTTTCTCGCGGCTCTACAGCGGTGCGCGCCAGTCTGCCGGAACTGGCGGTATGTTTGCAGCTTACAGCAGCGCACCGAAGCTGGATGGCGAGAGGACTCGTGCCCGTGATAGGCAGACTGCGCAGCGACTGCAAAGCAGCGTCAAAACAGCGTCAAAGCAGCGTCAAAGCAGCGTCAAAGCAGAGGTGCTCGCCAAGTCTCTCACGACGCACTGCAACAAAACAACAACAGTGACAACAGCCCACACCGAAAAAGAGTGGAGGACATGGGTATCGATCCCATTACCTTGTAAATGCGAATCACACGCTCTACCATTTGAGCTAGACCCCCAGACTGATTTCGAAATTAGCGACAGCCTACCCACTGCACTGCCGCCCCTCATATTGCACTGTCACTCTCACTCAGCAGTGCTATTCCCCAATCGTCCATTATTCAGACTTCCCGATGCCCAAACCAGCACAACCCGTCGAATGCGCCAACAAGTGTGGAGCTTAGTTACTAATGGACTCTATCGTGTCACCAGACAGACACTGGAGCTGGTGGAATAGGATGTACCTGGCGTTGGTGTGACTACTCTTAGTCGCGAATACAACTGCACTGCCATGTCCAGTCTCTCTGCGTCGCTCAAAAAAATACATTTCGCGAAAGCTAGGTTGTGCAAGCTGCTCATCTCGGTTCTCCGACCCTGCTCTCACCTGCTCTCACCTGCTCTCACCTGCTCTCACCTGCTCTCACCTGCTCTCACCTCATCTCGCCTCACTTCATCTCCCTTCATCTCATCTCGCTTGTTGTCCCTCTCTCTCCTCCCTCTTCTCTCCTCTCAACACGCTATTCTTCACAGCAACAAATGAGAACTAACGGGCTGCCCAATCCGGTGCCAAACAAGAGGCTGCGCTTGGATGAAGACACTTTAGTTTGTGACAAGTACTGGCTGCCAGCCGAGCTGATAGCGCACATTATATCATTCTTCCACTTTTTACATCGACCTGTGTTTAGACTCGTATCGAAGAAGTGGTATATTGCCTATGATCAATACTATAATAATAGTTCCTTCTCCGACGAAACGCATGTGGACAGCAGAAGCGTGACACGAAGACAAGTGGTGAATGCATTTGCCAATTATGGCCATCGGCTGCGCTGGATGCACATCAACACCTCAACTTTGCGTGAGATGCTGGATACCGCTCCGACCTTAGCCAGTTTAATCCCCAATGTCACTTGGCTCAATGTTAAAGTAAACGATGGCTTGTCAAGTCAGCGATGGATTGGTGGCTTTGTAGCGAAACTGTGCAAATTAAGGAGTATAACCATCAAGGAATTTGGAGCCACGGCAGATGAGCATCTGGTTGGTGAAATGGAAAAGGCCATTCCAGGGTTGCCACGCCTCCAAAAAGTTGATTTGAGCAATATCGATTTGGATTCCGATGCTGTCCCAGGGCCAAATATGAGGAGACGCGCGAGTAAAATGCTGCAGCTGGTTCTCCCAATTGCAAACATTGCTCCCGGCTCTGTTGCTTCTACATTTGCGGCGTTCAAGAGTGTCACGCGGCTGGGATTTACAGGAATCAGTAGTGCGAATGTCCTCAAAGAAGTTACTGACATGGTGACTGATGACAAGAACTTCTCTGCCATGCACAAACTGGACGTACACACCACGTTCGATCTCTCCCATGCAGTGCCGATTATCAACGAAGAGGATGGAACCACGGTCACTGCGATGGATCTTTATTTGAAGATTTGTGGCATCCAGCGTCCAAAATTTGAGCTTCGTGTTGGATTTGTTCTTGGCGCATGCTCGACAACTAATAAGGCTCTGAT